TACTTAGTAAACCTAACTTATTAGTTATATTAGTAGTTAGTATTAGTATAGTCACGACTATATATATATATATATATATATATATATATATATATATAAACATGGAGTACATGTTACTCATATTCCTGGTTCAAAAGACCTCCTATGCAGTCTTTAACTTACTAGGAGAGGATGGAGTTATGACCTTACAACTCCTGTCTTTTTTATTAATTAGCTTTTCTATTGATGCAACAAGCTCTAAATATAACGGAGCACCTCAGCTTTCAAGCATTAAATTTGTGTGACATTTAACCGCGCATCCTTCAACTTTGTGGTACTTTTTGTAATACCTACTTATACACTATTGCTACATTTGTTGTCAGTAAAAAATAAACACAAAAATAACGTGTACAAATAAACTCGGCAATCTTATACGATCTTTATAATAAACTCAAATGTGCAGTCCATTGCAAGAATTTACAACAAATGAATACACATACCTACTTGGTGACAAATTACAGCTGTACAACTTTACCCCCTAAAACCCGCTAGAATGATTGTATAAAGTACAGTATTGGTTTCTCGTAATACAGATGATTACCGAAAATTGCTAATCCGCCGATTTTTTTTTATTCTTCAATGAGAAGTGTTTATTTGCACTCTTATGTTCGGAAAAAAAGTTGACAGAAAATAAATTTGCTCTATTTTCCAAGTTTGTTCAAATAGCGTTCGTAAAACTTTCACCATCTGTTGTAATTTGAACAAGCTTTCTCCTAACTAACCTGTGTAAACCAAACCCCCTCCAAAATGCTGTCAGAACGAAATGTTGAAAGTTTCAACGAGTTATAAGGTCTATTACTTTTCTATTTGCATGCGGATTAGTAACACGAAAGGTACGTTTCATTATCTTTGAAATATAGATTTCTGCGTTGGCTGTAAATCATCTTCTGTCAGTATTTAGTTGAAGCTACAATTAGAACATGCAGTAAAATTTAGCACAACTGGAAGACTGCCAAAGTAATTCTTTTCAAACACCAACTTAAACACGCTTCAATACTTTTTCTGCAATAATAAAAACCTTATTTGAGTCATCGGTTCGTCCGTATGGCTTCGTCAGGAATAGCTCTTATACCACCAGTTATGATGAAACCACAAGGGTGAAACGTTGGTTGAAATAGGTTATTGGCTGCGTAAAGATTTGCAATATAAATTTTTTATAACAATCATTACAAATTCCGATAAGCAATTGGACTAAAGTAATATGTTAATTCTTCTTATACTAGAATTACCTTTAAGTATCAATCTATTCCTTGCACTATCATTACAGTACCACCCAAAGTTTTTTTCTATTTGATAACGGTTGCTCTATGATCGTAGAGGTTTACTTATTTCTCAAATGTTAAACAATGGGGCTTATATCTTATTGTGGTATTTGATATAAAATACGGTTTTAACAAGCTGATAGTTTTGGCTTTGATAGTACACGGATACCAGTTTTACGGGCTCACTACCTTACGCCATGAATAAAAATTAAATTTATGACAAATGGTTAATTTCTTAGATGTTTTGATTGACTGTGGATACTTCTTTCCCTCTCTAGAATTGTAGTAAAGTATTTCACTATAAATGTAATCAATTTAAATTGAGGACCTATAAATTTTAATTTGAACTAACAAATTATTGTAATATTTTCTGTAATGACTAATAGGTACTAGAAAAGTTGGAATTGGATGCTTTATAATCGTGGAAATAACCAATTTTTAAAAGTACAATTATACACGTACTTTTTTCGAATTAAAAAAAACTTCCCCCTCGCCCACTTCTATTCTACCACACACTATTATGTGCCAGAAGTAAAAATCATAATACTGGTATTAGCTGACCATTATATAAGCAGATTTAAACTCGACATCTTTCTACAAGAAATGTGTTAGTGTAACTAGCAGTTTATATGAAAACAATTAATTACCGTTTTTAATCTTCACACATACAGATATCCCCCCCCCAGAAAAACATCCAGCACATGTTATATATATGCAGTTCTAACCATCATATCTGTCATGCAGTTGGATAGCTTAACAAATAATTTACAAGTTAATAATTGCTATTGCACATCATACATCGTCAGTATAGGGAAACTTCCTGGCTTTGTAATAGTATTTTGGTTTTTAATTATATTTCATATTAATTGTTCCTTTGTAGCTTATATAGGTTAAGCAATGACAAGACCACTGCATGATGAACCAAGATTTATTATTTGTCAAATTCAAACGTCAAAATTTAACTATAAATACTTAACTCAAATTGATATAAATATGTCAACTATTGTGAAACAGGCCAGTAGAGATAAGCAAACAGTAAATCTTAAAGTTAGTGACATTTGAGAGTTCAGATTTGACTTGACATTCTGAAACCTTAATAAAATAAGGAAGTTATAAATTACACTTTATGCTACAATTAAATCTGGAAACTAGAAGCAGACACTATCATCTTTGGGTTATGATCAAGAATAAAAAGTCATTTTAAATAAAAGATCTGCAGATTACTTTAACAATATTATTTGTGCTGTAATAATTATGACTATTTCTAACAATACTGTAACTAAGTAGTGATTATAGTAGCATTAGTTAAGAATCATTATCATACAATACAAAATCACAGCATAAAGCTCTACAAGTAAATACTTGTTTCTTTAAAGTGTTACGTACACTACTGGTTTTACAACCCTACTGGATTGACTACTGGCCTGTGTTAATTATAAAATAAATCTTAAACAAGACTGTAGTCCCAATGTTCAGTTAGGTCCGAATGAATTTGACTAGAAGTTCATCATTTTAGTCAACTTCCTCAATAGTTGGTCCACCACTGCTACCACCAGAACCTGCTCCTGGTGCAGCACCACCTGGTACTCCACCTGGCATATCACCACTAGGAACACCTCCAGCCTGGTAAATCTTGGTTATAATTGGTGTACAAATACCCTCCAGTTCCTTCTGCTTATGATCAAACTCTTCTTTTTCAGCCATCTGGAAAAGGAATTTATCAGTTTTTAAAAAGAACCTACACAAAAAAGTATTTCTTTTTATCACTGGAAACAAATTTTTACTTTTCAATTCTATACATTGTCAAATTCAAACGTCAAAATTTAATTATATATAAACATTTGTAAAAGCATGATCATACATTGCTTAATCCAAATTAATTCAGTTTACTTGTAATTATGAAGTTCAACTTCAAGTAAGTAATAGTCTATGATTTCTCATTTATAATTCAAGTTGTTGAATTTAAATTTAAGTAGTGTCATAAATCAAAATAACTAATCAAAATTAGTTTCCAACTATCCAAGTCATAGATGATAGTTTGAATGTATATTAATAAGTCTAACAATCAATTATCAAATCACTAATTGCCTAACACTACACTTTATCCAACCAATAATTCCACCCATACATTTTATTCTGTGATTTAATATACTAACCAAAAAAACTTTATTCATTTCATAAGTATCTCATTATTGCATGTTTGATGCAACTTAATATAACAGAAGATCAGTTGACATTAATACACAACTTTCGAAAATACTAAGTTATTTCCAGTCCACTTACTTAATTCATAAAAAATTGGATAGTTTAATAACTGGATAGAGAAAAATTCCTCACCTGATTGGTATCTAGCCACTTTATGGTTTCATCTACTTTATCAAGTACTTTTTTCTTATCATCTTCTGATATTTTGTCTTTAAGTTTCTCATCTTCCATAGTTGATTTCATGTTAAAGCAATAACTCTCAAGGGAGTTCTTAGCCTGGATTCTATCCTTTTGCTTCTCATCCTCATCTTTGTATTTCTCAGCATCCTTAACCATCCTCTCAATTTCATCTTTAGACAGGCGACCTTTATCGTTGGTGATTGTGATCTTACTCTCCTTGCCCGTACTTTTGTCCACAGCAGAAACATTCATGATACCATTTGCATCAATGTCAAATGTCACCTCTATCTGTGGCACACCACGAGGTGCAGGAGGAATGCCAGATAGCTCGAACTTTCCAAGCAGGTTGTTGTCTTTAGTCATAGCACGTTCTCCTTCATAGACCTGGATTAGTACACCTGGTTGGTTATCAGAGTAGGTTGTGAAAGTCTGGGTTTGACGTGTTGGAATTGTTGTGTTTCTCTTTATCAAGGTTGTCATAACTCCTCCAGCAGTTTCTATTCCCAATGAAAGAGGAGTCACATCTAGAAGCAAAAGATCTTGCACTTCTTCAGATTTGTCTCCATTTAGAATGGCAGCCTGAAAACAGATAGAACAAACATGTTAATTACTCAACTAAGACTTTTATATGCCACATTCTTCAGAAACAATAAACAAAATACAGTTTACTGATGAACAAACAGTCTTTGAAACTTAAGTATTAATGGTTTTGAAATTTTCTACAGTATCTGCTAAATGGCTTGTTGTGATTGAATTGCACATACATACAACAAAAATTATAAAGGAGGCAGTTTACCTGTACAGCAGCTCCATATGCAACAGCTTCATCAGGATTTATGCTCTTGTTAAGTTCTTTGCCATTAAAAAAATCCTGAAGCAACTTTTGGATTTTAGGGATTCTAGTAGAGCCACCCACCAGAACCAGATCATGAACCTGACTCTTGTCAAACTTTGCATCTCTCAGTGCTTTTTCTACTGGGTCCAAGGTGCTGCGGAACAGATCTGCATTCAATTCTTCAAATCTGGCACGGGTGATGGTAGAGTAGAAGTCGATGCCTTCAAACAAGGAGTCTATTTCAATGCTAAACAATAATGAGAAAACATTATGTAGTTAAAGTTTTTTCCCCAGGAAGGTTGGGTGTGAACTAAAATCACCTTTAACCTTCAATTCTTTTTGAAACAATTTAAGACTTGGACAGATCAGATTTACTTGGTGTAGAACCAACTTGCTAGTTAACCATATTCTTACAGAGCAGCTAAGAATACAAAAGAAGTAACAATTGTTTTCAAACAATCTTATTCAGAACGTTCAGAAGATTATTACGAAAATCTGTAACATCCAAACAACAATAATTTTGATATGAACCAGCTTAGCTGTATGGTTATACTTTTGTGGCTTAACAATTTAATGATTGTTTAATAAATTCTATTAAGGGGCTTAAAGAACAGGTACAATTAAAAATTTACCTGGCTTGTGTGCTAGAAGACAATGTTCTTTTAGCTCTTTCACAAGCTGTCCTCAGCCTTCTGGATGCCCTTTTGTTTGTGGAGAGGTCTTTCTTATGCTTTCTTTTGAATTCTTGAACAAAGTGGTTAACCATACGATTGTCAAAATCTTCACCACCCAAATGTGTATCTCCAGCTGTTGATTTTACTTCAAAGATGCCATCTTCAATGGTCAGGATAGATACATCAAATGTACCACCACCAAGATCAAAGATTAAAACGTTTCTTTCTCCTGAACCCTATAATATTTAAATTAAAAAAATAAACTAAATACACAGTGCAACCAAGATTCTCTTAAAACATACATGCAACTGTAAAATTCAAAGAAATGTACCCTCCTATTAAATATTCAAATGACTCGTACAGTAAAGTGTGTGTGTGTGTGTGTGTGTGTGTGTGTGTGTGTGTGTGTGTGTGTGTGTGTGTGTGTGTGTGTGTGTGTAGTAAATGAAGTACTTATTACGTAGTTAACTAACTAACCTACCTACTAGTATATACTACTACCTTATTATAACTATATAATATTCGTTACTTATATTTA